AAATAGGGAGATATAAATGACGAGAGTGGTTGGTGGGTATAATATTCCTCTCCTAGCTGTGTAGGGAGTTTGACGTATTTATCATTTTTTCTTTGTCCACTGTATATTATCGGCGTGGATTAAGCGAATGGGCAAGATGGCTAGCATACGCCGACTAACCCTCGCATCTTACATCGGATGTGAATGATTGAATCATGACCTTCCATACTTGGAAGCATGATTCGGGTCACGCAGCCACGCGTGCGAGTCGGGATATAACAGGGTTTAAAGACTGGGTCAAGTTGTAGTCTAAAGTTTAAAAATCGTAACCTCCACCTTGCGTTTCGAAGTTTCCAAGCAACTGGGCGTAGAATTACACAAGTTATGCCATGATCGCCAGAACGCTGATCTCGTACGACGTGACGTCAACAGCTGATTGATGCATTGTAGGCAGGACTGGGTATTTGGAGTTTCGACGCATGTTTTTCTAATGGCCAAGAGTATATTGACCCATCAGAAGATATTCTAGAGGAGGAAATTGGTAATTATTGAACGTAGACAGACACATTTTCTCCTACATTTATGCCGAACTGATATGTCTCGTTTAATTAGTAGAAAGGCTACATGTATACCATAGCCTGTGCCTACACCAGCCCTTTGCGCAGCGAAGGCTTTAGCGAGACATCTCTCTCCTCTAGGCCCTGCAAGTCCCCTGCAGAACCCCGTAATCAAAAGATTGATAATTCTTTTTCGGTATGCTTAGAGTGATGATGGAAGTACTATTAGTAGAAACGGCCTATTGACCCTAGTCCCTGCAAAATACATGGTTGGGGGCTTCGCTCCTCTGAGGGGATGCGAGTTGCCAGCTGAATAGCCTGGAATACGATGTCATGCAGCATGTTTTCAGCCCCCGGATTCTCCCACATTAAGATTGCATACACCGGTGGTTTGAGAGTGACTTGTGGCATCAATTGATGTTCAGTGGTGGGGAAGGGGCAAAGTGCTAAGACGGTCGGAGGCGCCCGTCATGTAGTTGCCAATGCCAGCAAGAACCCAGCAGTGGCGATGCTCATAGTCCCTTAAGGTACATGTAGTCATGCACTTGGAAGAACCCTGTTGTCTACGAAACAGGCAAATGACCATCTTGCACATCGGTCCTGTTAGCCCGGGCCATAAGTTCCGATGCCGCCAGCCACGACTGGGATGCGGACTTAACTTCGCGATTGAAACGGGTACAGTACACCCATACCCCTGGTCTCAACCTGGTTGCATGCGGTGACATGGTCGCGCTGAGGCCCGTAGGTGTCGCTTTTTAGGTCTTCCATCTTCCCCGTTGGGCCACGTTATTCGTGGCTTAGTAGGCTGAGACACGGGTTTTTAAGTATATGTACTATATACACACCAGACGCTACGCAAGCTACCGGCATTGCCGTGACCTGACAAGGAAGCTGTTGAGAGGGGCTCACATATGTATGCACCCGCCAGCGACGAAGTGGACGAGCCACGTCTGGTAGTACGGGAGAGTATAGTTTACAGGGGATTGGTAGCTCCCGGTAAAGAGGCCCAGAATTGCAAGAGATTCCGTACAAATAAAAGCGACCTCGTTTAATTTATCGTCTGATAGGTGTATACCTCCTTGCCTTGTTTCGGGTGGTTAATTAAACAGGTGTTGGAGTGCGTAGGCATGACGTAGGAGTCTTATGCGGTTTCGACAATTTGTGGTTCGCCTTGTACAACAGTTTGCACCGCCACTTGGGTGGGGAAGCATACATCGAAACAAACACTTCCTGTGGAATCGAGACCGGCTACTGATTCCTAAGCAATGCGAAGCAGAAATGGCTCCGTATAACTAAATATGTGTCCATGGCCTAGACGGCGATACACGCAAGACGTGGACCACGAGAATTTGTCCAATTTGCTGGTCAGACAACGAATAGTTCCTGCATAAATGCATTGAAAATACGAGGGTCCTTGTCTGGAGATACAATTCCAGTTCATCCTCGCTAAGAAGTGCGACACCATCCAACAATCGCATCCCCTGCATGCCCAGACTGTCGTTGCCAACGTGTCTCATTCTTGTTCTTGCCAGAGCTTAAAGCGCACTCGGCGACCTTGCGGAACATGCCCGACTGGTTATTAGAATTATGATAAAACGAGCTTAGACGGTAGAATTCGCTACACGACATTTAACGAGAAATTCAAAAGGATCTAATCCCTTTATAATCACAGCTAAGTAGGTTACAGCTTACCTTTTATTTAAATCATAACCGGTACCTTTAATAACTATACAGATATTCCTGTGAGATGCCCATCGAGCAGCCACTGCAATCTGAACATCATTCGTAGCATTTACCACATAGTTTGGGTACCCCCCAAGGGTACATCCCGCCGTGGCATTGTACCCCGGAGCGTCGGGTGGCAAGCAGGAATTGTTGGCATAAAGGGGAGAGGTGATAGACTCGGGCAGCGAAGCGTGGAATGCCGATTCAGACCAACTAGCGTTGACGGTTTTACATTCAATAGGTGAATGAAAGGGGTTTCCTCGGTAGCAAGAAGACGCTGCCGGACGAGTCTGGAGTAGGGCTCCTCCAATGGAACTGTTTAAGGCCGCCAATTCTCGCATCGAGGGCCAGGCGCTGTTGGATGGCGTGAGCTTGCACGTTCGCAAGGCGACGGCGGCGGGTAAAATTAAGAACAAAGAAGGACGCATTGTTTGGGTAGTGACTATAGGATTTGTCCTAGATAATTGTGTACTGTTGGGAAGGGTCTTTATACTAATTTGCCTCCCTCTGCTCCGTTAACCTGTACTAATACTATTGCCAAAAGGGGAATCAACCAGAGGCATTAAATGAGTCAAATGCTTCCCATATCCAATCGGCGTTTTTTTTTTTTCGCATAGAATACAACGACTTACGCAATCAAGCAGGCTATTGTGGGTGTTTTGTGGAGAAGTTATTTAGATAATGCTACACTAGCCCATGACACTTACGCCTTCCAATCCCCATTATATTCGCTTGAAACATCCAATTGACACGTTGGCTCCCTTAGTCTAACATAAGACCGTCGAATTTGAAATGCATTTTTAGGCTGGGCCTAGAAAATTACAAAGTTATAACTAAACTGTACAATAAAAGGCCTAGCAGAGAGGTGTGTGTGACCAGGGCTTAGTGAGGACTTGGAGTAATGACTCAATTCATCTAATAACAGTCTTTGGCATTAAAAGTCGTTGATTTTCCTGAAGACCTAAATTACTCAAGAGCTCTATTCATACAACAAGTCGGTGAGAGCCTTGTGCCCCAGGTGTCGTGACCGTGATCGTGTACATTGCCCCTCAATCAACTGGCTTTCCCAAGTCTCTTAGCAGCTCTGGCTACTCCATTCTTGTCTTGTAAAGCCGAATATGGAGGCGGTTTACCACTTCCCTGCTCTTCTTTTTCCACAGACTTCTCTTTTGACGCTTCGACTAGATCTTGATTTTCTTCCACGATAAAACTTGCCACTTGTGGCTTGACAATTCTCGCTTTCCCTTTACGGCAGCAAGGCATACAAGTTGCAATGGCAGCCGTCAACCACACGAGCGTGCTAAGAATGCTGAGATAAAAGGCGGCGTTGACGGCTGGCATGGAGAAGGGCAACACCACGGCACCAACACCCTTGACTGCAATTTGCCCAAAGACAGCACTGGAGACTAGCCATAGTAGGCTCAACACCGAGTCCAGGAAACAACGGCAAGTAAGACGAACTGCAGATTGCGTGTGTGGCCCCCGGATGCCACGTGCTAGAGACAATATCACCGACAGGCCTGAGACCACCTCTGCGTAAACCCATCTAGAATCTGCATGCTGGTCAAGCCTCGACCAAGCACCAAGATCAATGCCGCAAACTGAAGCGACGAGAACCGCAGAGATGAATTGTGCGCTTCGCAGCACCGAGTAGGCTGCGGTGTAAGGATCGCAGTATGGTCGACGAATAATCGTTGGAAGTATGTAGTGCATGATGGTTTTATAAGCGTCGAAAGTCAATATAGTAAGAGGCAACTGTGTATTGGATAAACTGTACTTGAGAATCTGGTTTCGTTGATGAGTTTTTGGCAAGGAACGACTTATATTGATATCCAAGCTCAATGGTTTGTCAAGCACTGGCCCGTAGGTCATTGGTGCCACCTTCGACCGCGGTGGGGTCACATTGTGGGGTTTGCAGATCAAGGTTGGCGAAAAATTGGCGATTGGTGGAATCCGGCCATTGTCCCATCTGAGATGTGGGCCGTGGGCCAATGCTAGCTCAGGGATCAGACCCACACTAGCCGAACAGACGCGCCATCCAAGCGCGAGCGTACGTCATTTTCATCCGTAGCGGAAGACAAGGTTCGTATATAGACTGTCGGCTCGAATTTGCGCATCCGTTTAGAATTTTCGGTTTCGGTGCCATTTTAATTTTCGGTTCCTGCCTTGTTCCGATTGGGCTATTCCTCGCATTGCACACTTACCATGGCTTTAGGAGTATCCGGGGCCAATGTTAATGTAGCCCACAGGCCGCCCAGGCGGCCACATCGGAAATCTAGGAACGGATGTTTTGATTGCAAGAGACGAAAAATCAAGGTTATTTTATTTGCCTTAACTTTGGCTTTAAGACCCGTTACTGATGGGTGCTAGTGTGATGAATCGAAACCCCGGTGTGTTAATTGCACTAGCTTTGGGTTGGCCTGCAGCTTTGTTACAGGATTTGCTAGTAATACCAGGGAGACGGCTTTCATAAATAGACAAGACAGCAATGGCAAATCGTTGTCGTTGAAGCGGAAGCGAGGTAGGCCACGCAAATATGGGCCAGCCTCACCAAGCTCCTCACCATCTTTACGATCCGACGGTCCGATAAAGGGCTCTGATGCGTCGCTGGCTGACACCTCACCTTGGAAAGATGCCAGCTTAACGACCATCGACCTATTACAGGCCGAGCTCCTCCATCAGTTCATAACAATAACTGGCCCCGGTATTGCTGCAGGCTCGGATGACCCAGGCCACGCCATGGGCCAGTTTTGGGCTCAAAATGCCCCCCGAATTGGTTTCTCTAACCCCTATGTCTTGCATCTTGCCTATTCGTTGGCTGGATACCATTTGGCGCGGGGAGATTCCTGGGATAGAAACGCGCAAGCACGTCGCTTGGCTGTTGCTAAATTAAACTTTACTGCCGGACTTGCTGGACTTAATAAGGCAATTTCGGTCATGGACAGTGGAACTTGCGGCGCGATATATATATCCGTAATGCTCTTATGCTTTTGCACCTTTGCAGCTGGCCCTGTTGGACGCAATGACCTGCTTGTCTGCCAAGTTGGTGTCGCACAGCCAAAACCATCAGTGCCTCTTGCACGAGGAGCCCACCTTGTTCGGCAACGTTTTGATTCGGCCACTCTATTCTCGGGGCTGATGGCACCACTCGCTCCGACGAACAGCCAGCCCGCTGATAGCAGGGCAACCTGTCATCGGCAATGTTTTGTGCGGGTCGATTGGATGGATCAATTATCGAGGCTGCGCGAGTTGATCGTCTCCAGCGACACCAGAGAAGTTTCGGTTACTATTCGGTCATTCGATACATTGCGAGCAATATACGAAGCAACATACGGCGATAGGGATGGCTTATATGAAGGACCACCAATGCATGGCATGGTGTTGCGCTGGTTGTATGTCATGGAAGATGACTTTGTGGCAAGTCTTCAAAGCAAGGATGCCATGGCTCTGTTGATTCTGGCATACTTTGCTCCTCTACTCAACACCATGAGCAAAGCGTGGTTCTTGAAAGGTTGGGCCGAACATCTGCTTACTAGTATACGGATATTTATCGACAAGGAGTATGTTGAGTGGTTAGAGTGGCCTATGGGTGTTGCTGAACAATACAGCGAGCATATCCGTTGACGAATAGCTAGGTTTCGGAAGAAACACAGGCCACACTGCATTTTTATTAGGCGCGGGTATATCACTACTTTTCGTAAATATTTCCTTGCATGTGCCTTCGCCCCCTGGTCCCTCTTCCTAGTTACACTGTGATCCTATAACCCGCGATTAAATACTAGGAAAAGTCCCGTAATTAGTATGCCTTCAATGTTTACCCGCTTAGCGCTAGTTATGCTCTTCAAGGATTGACTAGAGGCAGCGATTCAACAGGGACAGTTGCTACAGGGAGGGATTTCATTATTTATGATTCCGCAACCTTCAACCTCCAATGTAACATTGCGTATGCCGAGACCTGAATCACCAGCAGCTGCAGGATCACAAGGTGTACAGATGCCCAGCATCTCAATCTTGTCGCCCGCTACTCCAAAATGCAATGCCTTGACGGGCTGGCATTACTGCGCAAAATTGAGCCGCCAAGGCTGCCTGATCCAGCATTAATTACTCCCTGCCGCCTCGTTATCTTGTCAGGCAGCCTCACAGGCCGCTATATATCTGGGTACGTATGCCTGAAAGCCAAGACTCAAGACTCAAGCCAGCGTGCGGGACCGCGAGTTTGATTGGAGCTCTGGTGGAGGGTCGACTGCAATGGTTGAGGCCGTGTGGCCATTTTGAGGCTTACGAGTGATGACTCTGATGACTCTGATGAGGCTATTGGTCCTCGCCAACAAAAAAAGGTGACTTGTGCGACCCTGTTTTCGCCAGTGCTGCATGTCGTCATATATCTAATCCCATCTCCTCACAACTTCACAACCATCATCAGCTTCTGCAGCCTGCTCAAATTTCGTCTCCCCAAGTCAATAATTTCCAAGTCGTCCTTCCCTACCCCCATGGCCTCGTGTTTTGCCGACACAGAATACGTTGGCGAGCACTCTGTCGAGAGCAGTATACGAGAAATGTCGACTTCAAACCTCCTCTCAAGGCAGAGGCTAAGACTATTAGATGGCGGATGCTGGCACGGGCAAGACTTGTGGTCGGCATGGGAAGGCAAGTACTTTGCAACCCCAACTCCCCTTGTGGTGCTTGTGACAAGGGCTTGCGTGTAAGGGCTTGGAACAATATTGCATTCAACTAATAATTCGCTTTAGTATTGAAGGGCCTTGGTTTTACTCAAGGCCCTAAGGGCGGATAACCCTTATTTATATCAAACAGTGGTGAGTAAGTCGTTTGTGAAAAGCACGCAGGTGTCTTTAAAACTATATACTATAATTAAGCAGCTAGTTAATAATACTTATAGTAAGCTTAATATATTAATAAAAATAATTATATTAT